TTTTTTTTTTTTTTTTTTTTTTTCGCAACCACTACCCCAATTCTACCCCAATTTTTTTATTTTTTTTGGCAACCATTACCCATCTACCTGTCCTTGGTGGAGTGACCTGACCGGACAGCGATCAGATCGTTCCAGATTGCAATTGTAATGAGGCATTTATTGGAACCAGACCCCCAATAAGGTACCCCTTTATTGGAACGCAGTTAGCAAAGCACATGGCCTAGTTTCATTCACACGGCCTAGTTGCCGGACTCGCCGTCCATCAAGATTTTGAAAGCATGTGGACAACGGCGTTGTCCAGATGCATTCAAAATCTCGAAGGATGACGAGTGGATCACAACTATACTACCGGTAGGCCCTAAACCACCACCTGAGCGCTTCTTACTTCTCAGTTTCTTGTTCAGCAGAACGGGTTAAACCGCGATTAACCCGCGGTTAACCCGCCGCCGCACCGCAAAATCATGCGGCGGGCCAAACGGACAGAAAAGCTTGGCGTCGCACCAGCGCCGGTTCTGATGGACTTGGCGCGCAGCAAAAATCCCCATCGGAAAAACAACAGAGGGTCTTGGCATGTTCACACTGGTAGTAAGAATTTTCTGCATGTATCTGACTGCAAAATCACGGCCCATTCTGGATGCATCTGACCGCAGTTATGTCCAGAATTCAGTCTAAAACATCCTAGGTAGTTTTGATTCATGCCCTCGGGACGGACTGTCGGCTTGATAATGATTGAGGCGGGATTAGTTCAGGGCCCTAGGTGCACCACTCGCCATCGGCCAAGATTTTGAATGCACCTGGACAATACTTCGTCCAGATTCATTCACCAATCTTGGCGGATGGAGAGTGATGCCACTACCGGCCCCAAGTCTGCTACAGCCGACCCGCACCTGGACAATGACTTTGTCCAGATGCATTCCACCAGCGGCCCAAAAAATGATTCGAACCCGCTTGATTAGGAATTAACGGTTCGATGGCCAGCTCTGCTCAGCGGAGTTGTCATTGTACAATTTTTTATTTCAATTATTTTTATTTTTGTTTTTTTTTTTTTTTTCTTTTTTTTTTTTTCTTTTGGTCTTCGTTTACGGCACATCTTATCGGGGCTACTAGAGCCCGCGTTTACGGCACCCAGGGGCAAGGTCCCACTTGCACGGATTAAGAGATTCTGGCCGTTGATCTTTGCTATCTACGGTCAATATCGCTTAATTCGTGTAAGTGGGACCTAGCCCCAGGACTTTCCGTTGAGCGGGCTCTAATTGCCACTTTCCGTTGAGCTACTTGAATCTGATGTCCTCCCTTCCTCAACTCACCTAAACCCAACCCTTCTCTCCTCTCTCACTGTCTTTCTATCGTTCTCTGTCGAGGTCCTCTCCCTCTGTCCATCTATGGTCTCTTCCCTCCGTTGACTCACCTAAACCCAACCCCCCTCTTCCCATTCTCTCCCCCCACTCCATCCCACCTCTCCCTCTCTTTCTATCGTTCTCTGTCGAGCCCTCTCCCTTCGTCCATGGCCATGTTCTCTCTCTTCCTGATGTCCTCCCTCCATCGACTCGCGTAAACCNTGCATAAGACCTTCAGGTCCGTGTAGTGAAGACGAAGGAGATGCATGTCCATCATCGGTTCGACCCTGAAATTAATGCTCCGTTTTGCCTTCGACTTCGCTGCCGACACGTTGCGATTAATCTTCGTTCGTCCTCTCTTGGGGTGTGGAGGGATTACGCGTCCCAATCTGCTTTTGTTCGGTGTGCTTCTGCTTGGCATGTTTCGGCTCGGAATGTTGCGGCTGCCATGTACTGAAGTTGGTAGTCCAGCCATTGTCCCCACATATTCGTTCAGATGAACTGAAGACGACACGATCGGAGTGCAGGTACGAGTCGGTTCATTAATCTTCTGCAACACGCCCTTCATAACCGCTAGATCATACTTTAGTAGCTTCAGGTTGTTGACCTCCTTCTGCACTTTCGATACCATCCTTTCAACTTTATCTTCCGCCTCTGCATTCTTCTAACCGGTTGCGCTTGGACCAGCTTGATTCTGTGTCCCTTGGTTCATCTCTGTCGGCTTCAGTGCTTCATCAATGATGTAGAGAGAGAGAGAGAGAGAGAGAGAGAGAGAGAGAGAGAGAGAGAGAGAGAGAGAGAGAGAGAGAGAGAGAGAGAGAGATGATAAGAGAGAGAGAGAGAGGTTGAATGGCAAAATTGAAATATGGGTCAAATTGTGGCCGCAATCTATTTCGCAGTTGGAATGATTTTTTTAAATTTATGTAGCGTTCGTCCTGGAAAGATCACAATAAAATTTACGAGTACTCAAATTTTCAGGTCTTTTCACGCATTCTTCTGAGCGAGAAAACTCACTAAATTTGGAGTACTTTTTTAGTTGGCCCAGACATGGCTGAGTGGCAAAAATGGAAATGTGCTGAATCGACGCGACGATTATTTCGCAGTCTAAATGATTTTTTGTAAATGTTCTATTATTATTTCTGGAAAGAACACGACCTCATCTATGAATTCTCAAAATTTCAGATTTTCGTGCATGTTCGTTTGAGCACAGAAAATCGTCAAAGTTGCCTCTTGCAAAACGCTTGTTTCGTTGTGCCCGACCTCCCTGTTTTGAGAAGACGGGGCTCAACGCCTAGGCCTGAGGGCCCTTTTGCAGATCGCATGCCCCCACTTCTTTTTGGGGTTCGCTTCTACCCGAGGACCGATCCAATGCCCCCACTTCTTTTTGGGGTCCACTTTCGGACGTCCGCGTCCCTGCAGTTTCGGATGAACGCAAGTATCGTGGCGCGGGTTATCCTCCATGGGTAATCCATAAGTCGGAGTTCCGGTCCGAATAGGTCAATCACGGGCGGTAGATCCGCCATCTCATATGTGTTAGCTACCATTCGATGAAAAGTTTCAATAATCGTCAAGGTCTTGGTTCTCTCAGAACCCGCACTCCTGAAGTGGCGCAACGTCCTGAGAGAGAGAGAGAGAGAGAGAGAGAGAGAGAGAGAGAGAGAGAGAGAGAGAGAGAGAGAGAGACGATAAGAGAGAGATTATACACATCTAGATGTGTATAAGAGACAGCTATCCAGGCAATCTCCCTCCCTGCAGCCATGGTCTCTTCCTCATGCTTCGCCCTCCCTTGATTCATCATCTAAATCCAGCCCTCACCCTCTTTCTACCCGTCTCCTCCCATCCACCCAACTCCTCACCCTCATTCTACCTCTCTCCCTCCACCGTCCATCCGACCCCTCATCCATGGTCTCTTCCCCATGCTTCCAACCTCCCTTCACTCACCCAAATCCAACCCCTCACTCTTTCCACCCCTCCATCCATCCATCCACCCACCCAGTCCATTCATCACGCCCTCCCTCTATCACTCTCCCATGCTCTCTTTCTCCGCGTCCATCTACACCCACCTATCCCCGCCCTCCCTCCCTCTATCACTCTCCCATCCTCTCTTACTCCTCGGCCCTCTGCACCCACCTATGCCTCTCCCCCTCCTCCCTCCTCTATCACTATCACATGCTCTTTTTCTCCGCCTCCCTCTGCATCCACCTATCCCCCCTCCACCGCGATTCGTACTCCATTCCCCCTTGATCTTGCTTCCTTCGTTTCCTTACACAAAACTCCCTCCTTTGCCGTTATGCCCTCCTCACGACTTACCTCCTCCCTTCCTTCTGCCCCCTCACTCCCCTCTCTCGCCGAAATCCAAATACCACCCCACACGCTGCTCACCTTCCTTCTCCTTCCTCGGACTCCTCTCTCCACACTCTGCCACTGCTCTCTCCCATGCTCCCTCTCTCCCTTCTGCCTGCTCACTTCCATCCCTCCCATCCTCTCTCCCGCACTGGACCAAATGATAGAAGCACCAAAAAAATAGCGATCGTGTCGAAATATTGGAAGATAAACTCTGCAATTTTCACTTCGCAATTTTCACACATCCAGTGAGAGTAGTACCGCAACCCCCTCCCTCTCTCCCATCCTCTCTCCCTTACTTAGAGAATAGTATCCACTCGATACGCACTAATCCACTCGTCCGCTCCATGCACTCGTCATACAACATCTACCTTCCCCCTCTCCCTTCCCCAACCCCCTACCCCTACCCCCGCGCGCTTCGGCCCGCTTTCCCCCCGCCAATAGACGCACACAGATCGATGAAGCGCCGCCCCTGCGTTGCGATCCATGAGGAGAAACGAGATGTGAAAACAGAAACAAGCATGGAAGAAAACTCCTCGTTCAATGTAGAAACACGATGGAGATGGGGCGAACAAAGAAAACAAAAAAAAACAAAAAAAAAACTTAAAGAAAAAAGAAAAAAGAAAAAGGAGAAGAAGAAGAAGAAAACGTTTTTAAGCCCACGTTGGTAGGTAGCTCTCCGCTCTTACCTTGAGTGGCAGAAGTCCCGTACTTCAAGCGTCTCCTTCAGCTGCACAAAGAATCGTGTGAAACAGAAAAGCCAATACACAGAGAAGATAACGAGGTACACAACGGCCATAACCTTGAGGAAAGTCATAGGCTTGAACGGATGTTCTACCACCGCCACGTGGAGGATATCACAAGCCCCAAGCGATGCGCCCTTCACGTAGCCATACGCAGCAGCAGCGGATCTTGAATCGTCTGCCGCCGTCGGGGGGGCATCCTTGCCTGTAATCGTTGCTGCGCCGCCGCCGGCGGCGGCGGCGGCGGCGGCCGCCGCCGCCGCAGCTGCGGCGGCTCCACACTTGGCCTCGAATAACCGCCTCCAATTCACTCCCAACAACAAGAACCCCGAAAAGACAATAGTGAATCCTAAGGTCAAGAGTTCGACCACCCACCGAGTCAAGATACACCAGAACCCTTTGTCGCAATAATAGCGATACACGCGCTCAAAAAAGCGATCGAGATCAGGTATGGCAGTCCACTTGGCGCTTTCGCCCTTCAGCAGATCAGTCGGACTCGGATTCACCACCACCCCTCCTCCTCCTCCTTCTCCTCCTCCTCCTCCTCCTTCTCCTCCTCCTCCTCCTCCTCCTCCACTTGCTCCCGACACCACCCCGCCACCCTCAACACCTAGTAGTTCTCCAGCACCCCTATCGCCGCCCGCAGATGTACTGCGGCGCCACGAGGGGCGTTCGGTTCCCGCATCTGCATCTTCTCCCTCCTCCCCCCCCCCTTTGCCCCCCCAACTCCTTATGGAGGTTAACTCAACACGCAATCCATCAACTCTCTCTGCCCTCCTCCTACTGCGCTCTCCTCCGCCGTCTCTCCCTTGTATAGGCACATAGCTGATATGCGGGAACGGGGGATCCACGGCCATATCCCGACCGAATCGCTCCTCAGTGGTGACCACCCCACCCCCGCCTGCGGCCCAGCCACTCGCTAGACCAAGTAACCTGAGAAGAGCAAAGAGCAGTCGACGTGACAACTGCCTTCTTTTTCTTCTTCTTCTTCTTCTTCTTCTTCTTCTTCTTCTTCTTCTTCTTCTCCTTCTTTCTCTGCTTCTCCTTCATGGATGGAGTTCCCATGAATCAATGGTCGCATCCAGAGCCAATAACGTGCCTGACTACACAAATCCGCACAAGACAATCACATCATCAACGTCAAGAATCGAAGTCAATCCCTGTCAGACAGTCAAAGCAGACCACTTCTTCTCTTATCTTCTTCTTCTTCTTCTTCTTACCTTCTTCTACTTCTTATCCTTTACGGATATAGTCGAGAGGACAACTTGTTCTTCTCTTGTTCTTATCCATCATCAATAAAGTTGAAATGCCAACTTCCTTCAATGGATGAAGTTCTCATTCATCAATGATTGCATCCCAAGCTATTAGAGAGACTGACTGAACAAACCCGCAGCAGTGTCTTTCAAGTGAATATGGCTTTTCTCTTGTTCACCAGTCAAACGACAACCTTCATCTTCTTCTTCTTCTTCTTCTTCTTACCTTCTTCTCTTCTTCTTCTTCGTCTTCTTACCTTCTTCTCTTCTTCTTCTTCTTCTACTTCTTATCCTTTACGGATATAGTCGAGAGGATACCTTGTTCTTCTCTTCTTCTTATCCTCCATCAAGAAGTGGAAAGGCCAACTTCCTCCTATGGATGAACTTCTCATTCATCAATGATTGCATCCCGAGCCAATAGAGCGGCTGACTACACACCCGCACAGCGCGATCACATCATCACATCATCACATCATCACAAACGTCCAAGTCTTGGCGATTCTTTATTTAAATGCGACTCTCTCTCTCTTTACTTAAATGCGACTCTCTCTCTCTCTCTCTCTCTCTCTCTCTCTCTCTCTCTCTCTCTCTCTCTCTCTGTGTGTCTCTGTGTGTGTGTGTGTGTGTGTGTGTGGTGTGTGTGGCCGGGCGGGGGGGGGGGGGGGTTGGGGGGAGAGGGATGGGGGGCAAGTTGGCTGGCTGTGTGGGCCACAGTGTCCCGAAAACAGAAAACCAGGCCTTCAGAGGGACCCGTCGATACCTCTGAAGAGGTCCTATCGCACGGCACGCCTCCCTCTCTACCGCGTGACCCCATTACTCATGGAACCGACCATGCGCCCCCCCCCCTTCTTTCCT